TCAATAAGGCTGTTTGAGCACCTGGGGCGAGAAATTTTCCAGGTGTCTAGATGATTGTCACTTCCACCATTAGTTATATTTTTATAACTAAGTAATCAAGTTCATCCCTCTCTTTCCTGGAAAAGATCCAACGAAAAAGAGGGATGGAATGGAACTGACACGAGGATTGACGGAGCAAAAAAGAGCACAAGATACATACGTGAAAAGTGTAGAGAAATGAGGCCTCTAAGAAGTTGAGTACGAAGATGATGGGATGGGAGATGATAAGTTCCTAAGAAAAGCCAACAGCGGAATCAAGTGAGAGGATAAAGGTAAAACTGTTGCTGCAACAAAACGATAATTAGTAGGGAGCCATATTGGCAAAATAGCACGCTATGGACATCACAGAGTGGAACGCCAAGGAGCGAATGGATGGAACGCACAGACACCCCTCATCTCTTAGCGTCTAAAAAATTGCGGCTATTAGTGCCTAAATCAAACGGGATCAAATATTTCTGCTATCAAAATAGTGGAGTACACTAGGGACCAAGAAGAATTCTGTTTCTTCCAAGGTCTATTGCAAGTCCATTTAACTTCAGGCTCATTCCTCAGACTGAGCCGGTAGAGAAGGATATTGGAGTTAAGCGGTGAACGATAAAACTCTCTGAACTCCTTTAACCATTAATCTTCGCACGACATTGCAGAAACGAGTGAGACAACGTTCATTCCTGCGCTAATGAAGGTGGCATTCGTCCAGGCTATACTTTTAGCTGTTTACCTTTCATTGAATTCGGTCCCTTACGAATGACAATACTGCACTGCCTGACCAGGAGGGTCTTCAAGGTTGTGCCCTGCTCTTGAAAAACGTTTTTTGCATGATGTAAAAGCATGTGCAAGAAAGGCAGAATTATGGTGTACAGTTTTAGAGCGGCCTTCTGCCAGAAAATGGGGTGAAAAAGCTCAAGGAAACACCTTTTTGACATAATTTTTTGGCGAAAACCCATTCATATAGGTTACTGATAGTCCTCACTACTAGCCGCGAGTACTTTTGGGACATTTGCAAGCGTCAGTAGGAAATGCAAAACTTTGTCATCATGCGATCTCGATCCATGAACCAACCTTCGTCCCTTCTTTGCCCTGCAGAGAGCCGCTCAGGAGAAATAAAGCAAGTCCCACGTTTCATGCATATGACACAATATAAAGCAAAACACTGTTGAACAAGCTGAGCTCGATTTTAAAGTACTTCGTGGTTTCACATTTCAACACTGAATATGCACCATAGACCACCACAATTGCGATTTATGGCGTGCAATAATGCCCCGGGGCAGCACCTGTCGCCTAACAGAGCATCCATCTTGCCACCTGTTTCACGAATTCCAGTTGAACCCATCACCATATGTCACTGTGAGAATTACCGCGAAGTTCCTGGTTTTTATAGCGAACGATTACATTGGAGAATCAACCATGTGGTTCATTCCAGGAACCCCCAGTGTGATACTTGTGTACTGCACAAGGGTCCAAAAGGGGCAGGAGGCTGGCAAATCGGCTGAAAACCAAGTTGGGGGGGGGGGCTCCTTTGTTTTCTCCAATACTTAAGGTAGAAATGTGAGCGCTCATAGCACAATCGATCATTAAGAGTGATTCTAAATAATACACTACAATACCGGTGTAGTGTAGGGGTACTACCTGAGGCGCTTCCACATTTAGGCATGCAGTAGTTCAGGGAAACGGTCCCGAATCAGAGGAGGAGAGAGCTTTGCAACGGCCTATGGGTGGTGGGGCTCCAGGGTAGAAGACAGATAGGATGTGGGCAGGATAGTGTGGAATGTAGGACATCCACCGGTCCTTATCAAAAGTACGCTCGAAATGAGTCGTTCACTTATTATCTTATCCGTAGTTTCGATAGCCCAAAGGAACTGCTCTCCAGTACTTTGGATTGCATGGCAAAGAGTGCCCTCTCTCCCTCCCCCCTGCCGCGTACTGAATTTTCACCGTAAACAGTTACTGCTGTTGCAAGGAATGCGGAAGCTCAGCGCACTTTACCTTGACGCATTGCGCATCTTGATCAATGGGCTTGACCCCGTACCGGTGACCCGCACCCTTTTAGGGAGTCTCGATACCACAACTCCTTTTCCCCCACAACGCGTGAGGGAAGGGGCATCCTCACGAAGACGACCCCCACCCACCACCACCCCGACAGGAATGGGTGGAAGATAGTGTCCTGATTTTGTTCATTTCACGCTTATCTTCTAAAAACTTTCTCAAAAATTACCGAGACCCTTCGACTCCTTCTCCCCCCCCCCATGACCTCATCAACTTCCGAGAATACAACTTCCTTCCGTCCTTTTGAAAGGACGGAAGGAAGTTGTATTCTCGTCCTTTTGACCCTTGTAAACTCAACTCAACATGCCAAAGGTTCACGTCAATGCTTTGGAGGTAAATGTGACAAAATTCAGCGAATCCCACAATAGTGGAATAATGGAAGAGAGAAAGAAGAAGGAAGAAAGAGGAAAAATATTAAAAATTTTAGGAGTATTACGGTTCCGAGTACGGTTCTAGTGTGTTACGAAAGCACGATTGAGGCAATTTGGGAATAGGAGATCTGCATTACATGCGGTGTGAATACATATTTTTACAAAAAAAAATCATGTAACACTAAAATATAATAGAAGTCAGGTAGTTTCATTCATCACCTTCCACAATATAAAACTTAAACTTTACCTACATCTTTAATATCGTCGTAATTTTTCTTGAAGTCGACTTGTTTGTAGGTGGTGTTGGGCGGGAGATCGAACTCTGGTTTGTCTCCTCGCGAAGCGATAACTAGTCTGGAAAGGTGACATACAATGCAGATTCTGAGAACTTAGTCAAAGCAATTGTTCCTTTCTTTTTGAAACAGAAAGGCTATTCCCCTCGAAAAAAGGCAAACCCCGGGATTAGCCCGACTTGTGGGAAGGATACCGCGAGGGAAATTGTAAGGTCCCTACCTACCTAGATCACTCCAGCTTCGCCGCAAAAGTTGCGCGGTTAGGGCGCTAATCCTTACGGGCCTGCAACCATCGACCCCCGTTGCAACGCTTCCCACCCACCTCGATATCGGCGTGCTCTCTCGAACGGCGTGATCTCTCGCGTGTTTTGTCTTCTTTGACCGCCCTGCCTCGCCATCGTTCCACATCCGACCTTTTTGAAGGTTAAGGCCTTAATTTCAGCGATCCCAAAGATTTCTCTAGCTTTCCTTTCCACTTTCAGGCCGTCCCGCAGCTCAGTCATCACTACGAAGCGCTCTTATCACCAGTTTTATCCGGGGCTTGCCTTTGAACAATCGTAATCTGAATTTAATCGCAGATTCGCAACTCAGCCCGGTGTCAAATTGCGAATCAAGCAAATCGCCAGAGAATGGCGGATATGTACGAGTTATGCGCCAGCCGTTCTAACAATGTACCAGCGATTCAAAAGTGTGGAAAGTGGGGGAGGAGAGCCTAAAGTGGACAGCGTCAGCGTGCGTACGGGAGAAAGAGCTTCTAACGCTGAGTTACTTCCCAAAAACTCGAACCTTGACGCAT